AACATTTCTATCAACAAAACAGGCTTTAAACCCTTTTAAAACTTCAAAGGTGATTATGCCTTTGGCAATTTACTCTAGGTAGTAAATTATATAAAATAGGGAAATAATTAGTGCTTGATAACAGATAATTGAAGTCAGAACATAATATGTTTGGGACCCACCGTTTTTTATTCATAGAACCCCTAAACCCCCTGGAACAGTGTGATACTAGAGCAGTCCTGTCCATTCCGGTGAGATGGAATGTGTTCATGGGTGCCTGTGTTTGGTGACGCCACCCTCCTACCCTTTTGTCCTTTGGCTGTGCTGGCTGATACTCCCCGAAGACTGCTCAGACCCAGCTGTGTATTTTGGGACCCAAGGATGAAGTGATTTCACCAGAGTTTGCAGAAAACTGAAAAGGAAAAATCATTCTTTGCAGGAGTTCCTGGAAGCAGACAGTCACCAGCTGCCCAATGGAGTTTACACGACTGCAGAACAGCGTCCAAATGCCTACATCCCAGATGCAGACGCCACTCTTCCTCTGCCAAAACCATATGGCGCTTTGGCTCCTTTTAAGCCCAGCGAACCTGGAGCCAATATGAGGCACATAAGGAAACCTGTTATAAAGCCAATTGAAATCTGAGTATGTGAACCAGTCCAGGCCTCTCAAGTAGAGGACTTCAAACAGGCTTCCTTGTACCCACACCTGGAAAATGTAAGAACAGTTGTAAAATTACAGATAAAGAAGGTAACCACAATTAACAGCAGAGTAGAACATGGCTTCCATTTACACCAACTAAATTTTACATAATGTTGAAGACGTAAAATTGTCTTACAATTAAGTCAAACAATATATTTGAATTGCTCATTTCTTTTTTACTCTTTATATTGATATTTCAGAAATACGTAGTTGGCAAGATGCTGTAAAAATGCACTAAAAATAATTTTCAATGAAGTATAGAAACTGGCAGAGTGGTCTTTGCTCATTAAAGAAAAAAATACTGTTCAATATATGTACTTTAAAGATATAGAATATTTGAAAAGGAAAATATCCCAAGTATCACAAAGGTGTAACTCACTTTGAGTGAGAAGTGGCACTTGAAGTTAATGTTGGTAAATCTAAGTCATGTGAAAAGCAGTAGTGAGGCTTGTCATTTCTAATGTCATGGAGATTCTTTTTACAAGAATCCCTTTGCTGCAAAAATAATTATGGCCTAAATTTATCTTTCTTATAAATCCAGATTTTTCACATTATTGTAAATAAAATTCTGATACCAGATTTTTCAAAATCTCAATGAAAATATTTATAACTTTGTATGTGAGTGGAAAGAAGTGAAAATGAGGCCAGTTCCACTTTTCTTCATTACTCTAATTTTATTGCATTTCGCCCAAGTGTATTTTCCTAATTCTGACATATTTTCTCATGTACAAGGTTCTCATATAGGTTTCAAAGCTCTGATTTTACATTCATTAATATGCTGAAACAATCTTTAATAGTGGTAGTAGTTATGAATTTTGTCACAAAATTGGAGTAAGAAATATCAACATCCCTTCATTTTGCTAAGTCAGACATAATCTGTTCCAAGCCCCCATCCTGCCAGACTAGAGAGAAATTTAATCTCATTCTCAGTCTACGAGTCCTAAATCTAACCTGATTGCTTTGTGAAGTCATCATAAAGCAACCACTTGGGAGTGCCTTTGATAAGTAACACTGTATAAGCCATGCAGTTAACACAAAGAAATACTGCATACTTAAACGTCATTCCTGTGTTTAGGAATCAGTAACCTCATTGAGGATTCAAAAATACACACATAGGAAGTGTGAACAACTTAAGAATAGAAAAATAATTTTTAGAAATCACAGAGGGATTTATGCTTACATATTACAATATTACAACGTGTGCTTACTGGTTCAGAGAAGGTGCCACCATGCGCTGGAATGGCCTGGATCACAGTCAAATGGGAACTTTTATCTGGCCCTTGAACATCAATAAGATTTTAAAAGGTGAGAGGGATTCCAAGTGAGGAAAATAGCCTGAGCAAGACTTGGAAATAAGAGAAAAGTTCAAGGCCCAGTGAAGTGGCCCTGGCTAGACTAGAGTGTTCATATTGTATAAGGCTGGAATTTGGGAGACCTTGTATGTCAAGGAGTTTGAACTTTATCTGTAATGAATGACAAGTTATTGAAGGATTATGAGCGGAGTAACAGAATCAAACTAATGTTTATCTCAAATATGTGCTGGATAAATTAGACCTTAGGAAGCAGCTGAAACAATGAAGGTATGAAAAGAAATGAATGAAAGCAGGGATTGAAAGATAATGACCTCATCAAGAGAAAGAATCAGCATTGCATTGCTGATTTAGCACCAAGATTTTGAGTCTTGGTGTCCGTGAAGTATTTGACCAAAAAGGGAAATTCTATAGGAAAGGACAACTTTTACAACACAATGACTTTAGAAAATAAATTGATCATACCAGCTAGTGATATTTATAATCATTAGAATTTCACAAGTTCAGTGTGGAGAGAAAAGCAAAGGATTATGGGCTGACCCTGGGTCAGAATGAAGTCACCTCAGAAAAGAAGAAAAGGAAAATGGTAGAACCAGTTAGGTGTCGTGGGGCCTCTGGAGGAACATGTTCATGGACTTATGATTCCTGGCTCAAATAAAAAGGCTATGTTCAAAAAAATAGGAAGAGTCAGGCTAAAACTTTCAGAGTTCTTTTTAATGACAAGATATTATTAAATCAAACTTTCATAAATAGAAAGAAAAAATTAAATACAGATTAATCTGAACTATCAAAACACAAAACCCACTCTAAATACTAAGCACAAATTACTGTATATTACAAATTATTCTGTACTGGAGATGGCAGATTTGATTTAGTCCAAATTCAGTTTTTTTAAATTAGCCTCTTTCTAAGTAGTGTTCTTATGCAACATTTTTCTGCTTGTTATATGTTATTTCAATGACATACCTAATTTTTGCTTTCCAACCACTGTTCCCTACATTTTTAAAGCTTATGTCAGAGTGCAACAGAAACTAGCTCTTGGCATATTAAGCCAGAGGTAGGAAGACAAGTCACTAGGAGGAGCATCATTTATGCCATTGTCTGCCTCCTTGGGCTATTCATTTCTCTACACTCGACTGCTCAATGGTGATTCAAAATTGGAATGAGGTACAGCAGTTTAGTTCTGTCTGAACAAATACCAAACTGAAATTCAGATGGCTCAACAATATATTCAGATTTTTGTTACCAATTTTAAATATTGCTAAAGAAGTCTCAAAAAGAGTAAAGTTAACAAGCAAGATTAAAATATTAGAAGCAGATCCAATTACATTTTCTCTTCTATAAGCCTAGAAGCATTGTGGTGTGTTTCAGAGCTGCTTCCTCTACAAATTCCGCATCCACGTTGTCACGCCCTTGAACAGCATACAGAGCTGGGGAAAAGGAAAACAGTGGGGGTGGGGGAGAAGGAGTTACTGTGGAGCCATGGAACATTTATAACTTTGTGCCCCATGGCTCACTGAAATCATAATTGTTTTATATTTTATATTATTCTGAGAACATGTTATTTTATTAAACTTTAACACCAAGAAAGAACATTTCTATCAACAAAACAGGCTTTAAACCCTTTTAAAACTTCAAAGGTGATTATGCCTTTGGCAATTTACTCTAGGTAGTAAATTATATAAATTCCTAATGAAAACCAATTGCAAGAAGGACCTACTTGTAAGTAAAAAGTATCTTGAGAAGAAAACAGTTTACACAAGTGAGTAGGGACAAAGTGATGTGTCAACAGAAAAGTGGGGAAAGCCCGAGAACAGAGGAGTGAATTACCTTGATCAGAGGATTCTATGTCTGTCAGAATTTCAATGAAGTAGTTCAGAGGTAGAAATTCTACTCTGAATGATGACTTGTCAATCATAGAATTCCAAGGCTAAAAGGGAAACCACTTCTGGTATAAGCTGATTCTCCAAAACAAGCACAAATTTAAATAAAGTAGAGCTACAATTGCTGCCCATATGGATATGCCAAAATGGGCACATAGGATCCAAAAAACATTTAGCTGGTCATGTCTCATAGACTCACCTGTTTCTTATAGTTCTGTAGCAGCCGTGTCACATGGTTGCGCGAAATGATGTTAGAACTCACGGGATGGTCCCAAAGTCTACAGATCTTCTGACCAATAAGCTATTATACAAATTGGAAAATATGTGTAAAATATATCTCACACTGCATTAAATTAACATACCTTATATCTATTCATAAGTTTAAAAATATTATTCTAAAGTAGTTAGTCTAAAAGGCCCTTTATGATTAAGTACCCTTGAAGAAAGGCCATGTTCCTATGAGATATACTCCTGAATTTTGAATCAATACTCCTTTAAATGCTACCTCAAGAAAAGCAGTTTATACATTGATGTTGCCAAATTCTTTATCTGAAATGGAGTTTATCTGCTACTCTTCAAACCTGGAGATGTGCATGCCAACCCTAAGGGATGTTTTGACAGGAAACTAAAGGGTGTAGGCATGTTTACATCAACTTCTCCGCCATTGTCTTACTTAGCAGATTTTAATTCCCTAAGAGTACTGGCTGGGAAAAAAAAAATCCAACTAAATGTTCAGCAATGTTCCCCCAGAGAGATCTAGCTATGGAAAATATTCTTTGTTTTCTATTCTTGCCTTTGCTCCAGTAAGCCTGAGGGGGAGGGGCTGCTAACGAGCAAGACATTAGGTCCAGAAGGCAAGGACAGCCCTTCCTGGGAGGACAGTGCCAGGGTAACAAGTGCTCAAGGTATGTAAACATCGGACAGAGCTGGCTGGGGCTCTCAGGGTCAGCAAGTTTGTCGAATCAGAGGCTCGAACAACCTTACACTGGAATTTCATATTTTCATAGTATTTCTGACTCAGTAAGCTAATATCCCCCACACACACACAAAAAGGAGTGCCTTTATAACTCCTCCTCTCATGTTTCTCATTTTTCCTTTGACCTGGGAATGTTTTCCTGCCACAGTAGAAATGCAGTAGGAAGAAATACAATTTCGGAACCTTCTGACCTCACCTATATTTAAATTTATAAGTTTAAATGCCAAAAGCACATGTTTCCCCTGTCCCTCCTTCTCGGACTCAGATATAAATATTAGTGTGGTTTCCTAAGAGGAGAAAATGGCTAAATGTTCTTCCTGGGCTGTGCCAAGGCGAGTGCAAAGCCAGAAGAGCTAGCAGTTTGTAGGCCCAGTGGGAAACAGCTGACAGGGGTGGAGATGGATGGGATTTCTTGGAAAGGGCTAAAAAAGTGAAACAGTTTAATTGACTTTAACCCAAAGCAAGTAAAACATTCTTCTTGCAAGAAGAAATTGAAGGAGGGTCATGCCAAGGCTTAGGGAGAGAATAAAATATAATTCAGGATTACCGGAGGAAGGCGTCCAATGATGCTGAATTTTAGTTTTTCATTTTTCTCTGTATTGTCCAGATCTACAAGAAAGTTAGATATTGGCAAACAAAACTGGCATATCCATTTTAATATCACAGCAAGGTATTAATATTTGAGTGGTTCATCCTGATAATACATATCCCAACCTAATCTAACAACACTTTGAAAACTTCAGTTTGTGACTCTCCAAATAAATAGGGATTTTTTTTCTGTAACAGGCTGCCAGGCACAAAGCAATTTTATTGCCTAACGTAAAACAGAAGGTACCCTTGAGGAATGGCAACTGCTTTAAAATCTATATTAACAAAACTCATGTATTAAAATATCATGATTGAGTAATTTGAGTGATTATACTACAGACCTTATTTAAAGTTCAAATTCACATAAGCACTATATCTCTCATTAATTTTTCTTGCATTTCAAATGTGTGAGATGACAAAGCTAATCAGCAAAAAGTAAGCCATTTCATGGCACTTTCTTGAGAAAAGTCCTATGGAGTCTCCTAGCCCTCGTGTACAGAAAAGAAATCCAATACCTGTGTGTACACTGAGAAGTCATTTGGGGCCTCTTGAGGGCTGAGACACTTTAAATTGGCCCATAGGTTGGTTACAGGAAATGGACTATGCTCAAAGAACCAGCTACATAATTTGTGGGGCCCAGTGCAATGTGAAAATGAGGAGGCTCTTGTTCAAATGCTAAGAATTTCAAGATTTAATGCAGAGCATTAAACTGAGCATAAGAGCTTTCTGAGTGCAGCTGGCCCCATATGACTACACAGGTCACACAACCAGAAAGCCAGCCCTGGTAGTGCTCAGGTGGGACTAGCACTCCGGCAAACTCGGGGTCTCTTACCTTTCATGAGCCTTATGACAGCTGTTTCAGTGAGAAGCAACAATCCACTATCGATGTAATGCAGCAGGTTGTGCAAAGGGAGGCAGTGAACCCCAAGGATGGTGTGCAGGGTGTGAAAACCTGGGACGAGAGATCCGGGAGGGCAACAGTCAGCTAGGTCTCAGGCACCCCAGAGGGGATGAACAGATCATGTCAACAGAGCACTTAGCTCAGTGCTCGGCACCTGCAGTCAACTAAATTCCTTGAAGACAAAGTCTAAGTTTCCTTCTTTGTATTATTACAACTAAATATTGTGCTGGGTATATAGTAAGTTCCAAGTATATACTCCCTTCTCCTGGGGTCCTTTCCTGGGCAAAAAGAGGCAAGTTCTGCTCAATCAAAAGTCGTTTCTCAGTTTATGATGTTTGTAGTTCTATAGTCAGATAGCAAAAGAGAAGAACTTCAAATTCCATACACCCAGACTAAGTATTGGGATAGGGACAATTTTGCTAAAGGGAAAAACATTTGGACCAGAACAACTTTTATGCCTGATCTGTAGGAATTCGGCAGAGAGGTGGGCACTTTGTCAAGCCTAGGTCTCATGGGGAGTGCTAACCACACAGAACCAGAACGCTACCTATACCATTAATGACAAAAGATAAAAGCAACATGCATGGGGGAAGACATCAGACCAGGAGAATCAGAAAAAGCCTTCTTGGAAATGATGGCAGTTGAGGGGAGCTTTGAAGGATAAATGCAATTTCTAGGAGTAGAAATGAGACAAGAGAATACACTGAATGGAGACAGTAGAAAAAGCCAGGTTCAGCCTGAGCAGATCTAGGCGAGAATCCTGCTGCATTCCTTTCCAGCTGTAGGTAACTAAGACTTTCTGAACCTCTATTTCTCCATCCCTAAAATGGAACCACTAGTACCTCTCCCCACAGGGGTGCTTTGAGAACTAGAGCCAGGTCTATAAAGAGCCTAGCACGTGGCATAACAACAGTGGCCGATACTGGACACGTACTGAGACCTTCGATCTGTGCACTGGCTCATTAGATCCTCACATCACCATGGGGTGGGAATGACTAGATTCCCATTTCATAGATGAGGAAACTGAGATTCACAGGAGCTAAGAAACTTGCCCAGGGTTATATAAATGGTAAGTAGCAAATTGAAATTTGAATGCAGGCTGTGGGATTCTAGCCTGGGCTTTTCACCATAACATCATCAGTAACTGGTAGCTGTGTTAATGGAACAACATGAACAGAGGCCCAAAGGTGAGAGAGTGTGGGGCAAATTCAGAACACATTAAATGACCCAGTTGAGTTGGAATCTTGTATAAGAGAGGGATGATTAAGAGGTAAGCTTGGAGAGGTTCATTCATTCAGCAAATCCCTTCCATACACCGGGCCAGGGGCCAGGAGTACAACAGTGAGCGAAACAGGCACAAATGCTGCTCCCATCCACCTTGCAGTCTCATGGGGGAGGCAGACAATCAAATAATCACATTTTTTTAAATGTGACCAGTTCTGTGCTTGGAGTGCATGTGACAGAGGCTGAATGCTGGATGACAGCAGGGAATTTATTAATTTAGGAGACTTTGGGGAGGCACTGAAAGTTTTTGAGCAGGGCAGAAAGAGGATTTGAGTTTTACTTTCGAAATATTAACGTGGCAACAGGCAAAGAATGGGCTGGAGTAACAGTTTGCCACAAGAGGCACGAAGACCTGCAGGGAGGCTGTTGCCTGAACACGTACACGAGGTAACGAAGGCATCGACAACGGACGAAGAGGGAAGGCGTCAGAGAGGCAGGACAACACGTACAGGCTTGGAGACCGACTGCATGTGGGAATGATGGAGAAGAATCACGCAAAGGAACGATGCCCAGGGAGCAGGGCATGGATTCAGAGAAATCACGGAATTTTCTCTCTCTGAGCACTTAAATCACATGCAGTGGGACAGTCCTAAGTCCTGGTAATATCGAGGGTCAAGTGAAGTACAGACTCTGCCCACAAGCAGATGTTAATGGGCTGACAACGGGATGAGTCCACTAGCTTCTTCGAATCCAAAAAAATCACGATTTTTACTAGCTAATCAACATGGGATTTTTCAAATGCATTTGGAAATTCTTCCCAAAACCAAAAAAGTTACAAATTATTTCTGAAGAAAACTTTATACTAGATTACTGATCTTACTGATTTCCTGGATTCAAAATTTCTCCTCCAGCCCTGTGACCATGTTTTAAAGATTCCTGGTGACCCTATACCCTCTATCTCTAGGGCGCAGTCCCAAGTTCAGTGCGTTCCTGGCTTCCTTTCCCTATGTCAGCTCTGATCATCAGAGCGAATTGGCTATACCTACACATCTGTTCCTTCCAACTTTAGTCCTCATCCTCCAGGGCTCCTGACCTCCTCTAGCCAGCGAGAACACAAGTCCTTTTTAAACAGCAAATACCCTCACTCTAAACCATGACTTCCTTTTTGTGGTCTTCATTCCCTTCTTTTCTTTCACCAATTCAAGTCATAAGTCTCTGACACTTGGAACTCAAACAGTCCTCGCTAGTGCAGTAGGCCTGGGAAGTGAGCACGCTTACACATGTACACATGCAAGCACCTTGAATTTATACACACACGCAGGTGCGTGCACACACAAATGTCCCACTGTCACTTCACCCCTCTATTTTCATGTCACTGGAGGGAAATAAACATTTAAGGGAAAAGGAGAGAGAAACTGTTCTTCCTTACCTGACCCGTGGACACAAGCCATTAAGTCTACTCATAATAATGCTCAATCGCTATGGAGAACATTTTTCTATGTTTTCCCTCCTTATCCCCATGAAGGAATGTGAGTTCTGTAGAAAATGGATTTTTATGCTTGGTCAGGCATAATAATGTCCTCAGTAAGTCAGTTTCCTTTATTTTAAAAGGAGTTGAACATCTGTGGTGAACACATTTGAAATTTTCAATCTATTCCCCTATCAAGTTTTTTGTGTTAACAATTGAGAATTTAATCCAGACCACTCAGGGGGCTGAGGTGGGATGATCACTTGAAGCTGGGAGTTTGAGACCATCCTAGGCAACATGGCAAAATTCTGCCCCCCCAAAAAAAGAAAGAATTTAAGCCAGAAAGCCACGAAATCCCCCTCATAATTCACATTCCATTGGGATAATTTTAAACCATCCATTCACCTCATGAATGGTCACTTTTGAATCCCTTTAAAGTCAAAAGAAACTCCTTTTGTACCTGCATTACAAGGAGACCTTCTAAAATAAGATGCATAGATGGAGGAAGCATGAAGGATTCCAAACTGTATGAGACACATCATAAATGCAGAGAAGCTGAGATATGCTGTGGGATTATTTGGGCCCATAAGTAGCCAATGTTTCAACATTGACTAATTCAACTGGAACATAAAATTCAAGACACAGAACAGTAGTTGAAAGCATAGATTTTGGAGCTAGACTACCTGAATTTGAATATTAGCTCTGCCACTTAACAGCCATGTGACTGTAGGCAAAGTATTTAGCCTTTCTGGCCTTAGTTTTCCATCTATAAACTGGGAGCAATATTAGGTGAGATTATATGAAAGTGCCATTTTTCTTGGTCAAAAACTGATTGGATACTGACAATTTAATGTGGTTCCATTTAAGTTTCCACCACTTGGATTGTTACGAAAATTAAATGTGCTAATTTTTATGTGAAGTACTTAGAACAGTACCTGTCACAAAAATGGGCACCGTATAGGTATTGGCTTAATTAAAACAAAGAAATGAATTAATGATATATGGATGGATAGATATATATGAATTAATTAAATAAAACCAGCTGATACATATTATGTAGTTACAGCTATCATAAAGCTTAACACTCATTAGAACTTACATACAATAATAAACCCTGTGCACTTATAGGCAACCAATCTTCAACAAAGTCACCAAAAACACACAATAGGGAAAGGATAATCTCTTTGATAAATGATGTTGGGAGGACTGACTATCCACATGCAAAAGAATGAAATGGGACCCTTATCTTTGTCAAACACAAAAATCAACTCAAAATGGATTAAAAAATTAAATGTAAGACCTGAAACTGTAAAAACCCCTAGATGAAAACATAGCAGGAAAGCTCTATGGCATTGGCCTTGGCAATGATTTCTTGGATATGACATCAAAAGCACAAAAAACAAAAGTAAAAATATGTAAGTGGGACTACACCAAACTAAAAAGCTCTGCACAGAAAAAGAAACAACAGAGTGAAGGCACAACTTATGGGACAGGAGAAACTATTTGCAAAGAATGTATCTAATGAGGAGTAAATATTCCAAAACACGTAAGAAACTCAAACAATAGCAAGAAAACAAATAACCACATTAAAAAATGGGCCAAGTGCTAGGCACAGTGGTTCATGCCTATAAACCCAACTCGGGAGGATGAAGTGGGAGGGTCACTTGAGGCAAGACTCCTGTCTCTAAAAAAAAAAAAAAAAAAAAAAAAAAAAGACTTGAATGGACATTTCTCAAAAGATAACATACAAATGGTCAAAAATTATATGAAAAGAAGCTCAACATCATCAGGGCAATGCAAATCAAAACCACAAAGAGATATCACCTCACACCTCTCAGGGTAGCTATTATCAAAAACACAAAATATAAGTGTTGGCAAGAATGTGGAAAAATTAGAACCCTTATAGACTACTGGTGGGAATGTAAAGTGGTACAGCCACTCTGGAAAATAGTATGGAAGTTCCTCAAAAATTTAAAAACAGAATTTAACATATGCTCCAGTAATCCCATTTCTGAGTATATATCCATAAGAATTTAAATTAGGAGCTTGCAGAGATCCATACACTCCCCATGGTTCATTACAGCATTATTCACAATAGCCAAGATATAGAAACCACCTAAATGTGCATTGACAGACAAATGGATAAAAATTTAGACTATACATACAATGGGGCCGGGCACAGCAGCTCACGCCTGTAATCCTAGCACTCTGGGAGGCAGAGGTGGGAGGACCACTTGAGCTCAGGAGTTTGAGATCAGCCTGAGCAAGAGTGAGACTCTATCTCTACTAAAAATGGAAAAATTAGCTGGGTGTCATAGCATGTGCCTGTAGTCCCAGCTACTTAGGAGGATGAGGCAGGAGGATCATCTGAACCCAAGAATTGGAGGCTGCAGTGAGCTGCGATGACACCACTGCACTCCACCCAGGGCAACTGAGTGAGACTCTGTCTCAAAACAAAAGAAAGAAATTGAATCCCCCTTTTCACTCCCCCGCACAAAAAGAATATACATACAATGGAATATTATTTAACCTTAAAAAATGAAATCCTGCCATACATGACAACATGGATGAACCTGGAAGACATTATGCTAGGTGAAATAAACCAGTCACAGAAGGACAAATAGCCCACAATTCCACTTACATGAAGTATCTAAAATAGTCAAACTGACAGAAACAGCATAATGGTGGTTGCAGGGGCTGGGAAGAGGGGGAAAGGGGAATTGCTGTTCAATGGGTATAAAGTTTCAGTTACGTAAAATGAGTAAGTTCTAGAGATCTGCTATTCGACACTGTGCCTATGGTTAACAATACTGTATTGTGCATTGAATAATTTGTCAGGAGGGTAGATCTCATGTTAAGTGTTCTTACACAATAATTACACAATAAAAAAAGCCCTTATGTATAATGAACACAAGGCAGGAAGTTTATAACAAACAGGATCTCATTTCCTATAATGGATACTGACTTAATACACGTATCTTCCCAATTAGAGTCTTATTAATCTTTGTAACTGCTCGAATTTCTAGCACATTACTTGGCATGTAATAGTTGCTAAACAAATATTTGTTGACTGAATGAACACATGACCAATTAAATGAATGACTGCACATACATGTCCCAAGGGTGTTTTGAGGCCTGACATGGTCCTGTTTCAAAATCCTAAGGGAAATTTTTAGTTTCCAAGCACATAAGAATCATTTCAATCCTTGGCACCAAGCCAAACCTACTTCCTTCTAAGTGTTAACTGTCAGACATCTCAGTCAGATAAATTAGGCCTGGAGACATCAGAGAAAGAGCTCCCTGCAACAGCTCTACTGGTTCAAATTATCCTAGAAGGTTGTATGGGGCCCGGCCTGGGCTGTCTAAAGTCAGTCCCAAGCCACAGCACAGTTCAGTTGTCAGGGGAGTTCTGGGCAGCAGAGACCAACTTCAGGGTTCATCTCTCACAGCGACACCAGACACACATTTTCTCACGCACAGGTCTCATCATTAAACTCAATATGCCAAAGTCTGGAGCCCATGTGAAGAAGAAAGAACAAATGTATTATACCAAAGGATAAAAGAGCCAAGACTTACCAGGAGGAAGAGGTAAAAACAAACTGTCAGCAGCTTCCAGAATCCTGGTCATGACGTGAAAGACCGCAAATTCAGCAGCACCGCCATGCCCCTTGCTGGGTAAAAATGACAAAGCAGCACGTCAACCACGAAGCCCACCTCCAACACCCCGTTTGTTCTAAGCAGTGGCTCTGAGTATCACATATGGGGGGGGAGGTTCATGCTAATTGTGAAATGTATGCTCTACAGAAAGCCTCATAAAAACAACAGTGACCATCAGCCTAATGCCTAGAATCTACCCAAACAGCAGGCACACAGATTACAAATTGTATTAACTTAAATTCCCCTTCTTGGCAAGACTGCTCATGTGTCCCTCCCTCCTGCCAGGGAAAGAGGATGGGAGAATAACAGAAGAGGATGGGAGAATAACGGAGCATAACTTTAGATGTTGAATATACAACTAAGATAGATGGTGCTGGGGCTGGTGAGAATTGCTTTGAACTAGGAAGTTTCAAAAGAGCTTTGCTAAAACAGGCAACAATCCGTTTTTTGGCTGTGTGCACCACGATAAAAGAGAGTGAGAAATACTTGCGTACAAGTGGAGAATCGAGGAATGAAGATTATGTTTCCTCCAAATGGTTTCGAGTATGCGGCAAATGAGATCCAGCTAGAGGATAAAGATAGTGCGTTAACCACTGCTCCTATCCTTCCCCTCAAGGTCCCTGCAGCTATCCCTCCACAGCTCTGACAAGCGCGTTCAGGGCAGCTGGCATTCAGGCTGTGCCCAGACACACAACCAGCCCTCCTAAGGTCAATTCTGAGGCACTGGAATCCAAAATGGAAAGACTGAATACACCAGAGTCTAACAGAGCACCCTCTGTCTGTGCTGCAGTGCCCCCGCTGAGCTGCCCTGGCCCCACCATTCACTCTCACAGCCCTCATCCATCAGTGAAGGTCAAGTGCCACCGGGCTAGCTCTAGGCCCATTACATTGCAAGGGCCAAGAGCTGATGGTCAGAAGAAAGAAGACAGAACAGAATGGAGGTCACGAGCAGGAGCCGTAGAGTAAGACTGGAATCAAATCCACAGTCTATTATTTTATTATTTGTGTAACCCTACGCAAGTTACCTAATTCTCTCCAAATCTCAGTGCCCTAATCTGTAAAATGAAGGGGAAGTACTTAATAGGTTTGTTGTAAGATTTCGTTGGCACACTGACTGGAACATAAGTGATCAATAAGCCATGATCATAATAAACCAGAGTAGATCACCTTCTTTGCCTTAGCACTTTATCAATAAACCCATTCTACACGCTGCAACAAGTTTGCGGTAGTAGGGCAGTCTCCAGGAAACTGTTGTCAGCCATGGATCCATGCATTGCACACATGGGCTAAGAACGGGGGAAAGCAGAAAGGATCTCCATAGACTTGGAGGCAAACACTGTATATCCTCAATGACACAGATTCTCAGTTTCTCTTTGGCTGAAATCAAGTAAGTAACCATGCGGTCAATATAATCAGATTCTGCAGCAACTCCCTTGGATATGTTTTAAAAAGGCTACCCAGCCACCCTTCTTCCATGGGAGTAGGTGGCACGGATGGTTGCTGCTGGGCATGGACAGGGAGATTTGGCCAGAATCAGAAAGTCAGGGACATTGAGTTTTCTGACAAGACACATGTATCATTTCTGGGCTTACTGATTCTAAAGCCTATTAACACAAACTAGTGTTAAAACTTTTACATGATTAACTAAAATCATGAAGAAAAGCAATGCTTGAATGAAAACCCTTAACACTTTGAAGGTGATATTCAAAGTCAACAGAAAGAGAGGTGATAGGTGGATGTGTTAAATAATGTGTTAAGAGTTAAAACACACACACAAAGAAAAGAAGTTAATATCAACATGGGATGATCAGTAACACATTCACAAATTGAGCTCCTTGGCACAGTTCGACTGAGAAGGAGATTTAAGAAAGATTCAATGCCCCGACTATAAATGTTTGTATATGAAAACACCAGTCTCTCCTAATATATTAAAAACTATGAAACTCAACCCTTACTATAGAAATTCAAATATATTATTTTAAAAAGACACTAATGACTGCAATAAAGGTAGAAAATTTTAAAGTTAAACATGAAGAGATTAAATCATGGTTATAGCTAACAAATGTAATCATCCAGAATTTAATACAAAAATATATGTTCATCCACTGGCTCATCTGCACACTGGTCTTGCCCAAACTTGGAGGAATAATGGAATGTTCTTTGTGCAATTGTTTTTTTTAAGTGTGTCAAACATATTATTTCTAGATTCCAAGCATATGCTTTTTGATGCATATGTCTTTTCAAGACAGCCTTAAAAGTCAACCTAGTCACATAGCTTCTACTTACTTACAGAATGGTGTTATTAATATGGATCACACAATTTGAATGATCGGGTACCAGGTAATGAACTGCCAGTCTCATCAGTAGACTCTAATGTGGTTGTATTTATACAGTTGAGCCCGACTCTGGCCTAGTTGGGCTATTGGAACTAATTAAGAATTGAAGTTCAAGTTCTCTCATGTCTGCAGAAACCTCCATGTACAGAAATCATTACTTACTGTTTAATAAGGATCTGAGAGTTGCCAAAATGAGATATCAACATTTGGCAATTGCACTAAATTCATTGTCCTATGCTTCCATTAATGTATAATTATCATTTGAAAGGAGGGCAATAAGCCACTTTCAAAACCAAGTTCTCTTTGTTTGAGATTCCTATTTCTCTTTCCTCAATCAATAGCACCAAATATACTCGTTTAAGAACGGGAGCTCTCCAAAAACCTAATTTGAAAAACACACAAATGAGTTCACTGAAACACATTCTGAGAATTATATATATATATATATATAGAGAGAGAGAGAGAGAGAGAACAAAAAGCAAAACCAACCAGTTTTGAAACGTAGTCCAGAACCATCTGTTCAATTTTCTTCTTTTCTACACCCTGTAGGTGTCTCAAAAGATGGTCTCGTAGCTCAGACACCATCTGAAAACAGGATATACACTAGATAAGTCACAACCTACCCACTCACACCTGCAACTGGTTTGAATTAGATCCATTTATTAACATTCACTATCAATATGAAAAATATTAGATCTGAAGATCCCACCAACAGAAACGTATAACTCTCAATATTTCTCTGGGTGAGCATAACTCAGGGGCCCCCAGCATTTTCCTCAAGGGGAACTACCTATGATTTACCCAAAGCCTGGTGAGCAACTGAGAGTCAGGCTCTAGGCCCTGATAAAAATCCTCCAAAGAAGCCAGTGGAAGTCACCGACTTAGAAGTCAAAGACTTTGGGATCTATCAAAGGATTGAAATCTACCACCCCAGGGAGCCCTGGGGAATTATCAGGAACAACTCCACACATGGAATAACTGTGCTAACGTGGGCAGGAGTAAAGAGGAAATGCATCAGGTAACTTCCTCTGCACAATGGCCAGAGACACTCAGCACAGCCCCTTGACATGGAAAGGTAATGAAATAAACATTCTGGCACCTCCGAATACTCCGTTTCTATACCGGCTCTGTTCTGATCATCTTTGGGCCTCCCCAGTCAGTGGCTGGCATTCCCAGGCTGCCCCACCCTTTGCTTTTCTCTCTCCTTCTTCCTTCTCCTTTTTGCCTAGACGCTCTGCTCAGCAAGAGGCCCTCCTGGCCAGAGAGATCACTGCACTAATAACAGCCCCTGGGAATTGTATAACAGACATCATACATGCACAGATCTTCTATTTAATAATTTAGGAGATTCACATACATAACACCCTGAGTAAAACCTAGCCCATGGCCTTCAGGGCCAAGACACAGTGGTATCTTATTTCAGTTCAGTCTCCTGCACTTGCTAATTAATTTGGCTTTTAAAAAATTTAAATTTTTCTTCTGTTTAACAAATACTTCATAGTTTTTGTGCTTCTTTTTCTACAATAACCATAAAAAATGAAAATTAAAATCACTCATAATCCTACCATGTACATTAACGTTTTGGGGGTTATTTTTCCTTTTTCTGGTGTGCGCACCCATTCTAATGTTTTGTAATCTGTTTTTTCATATAATACTTTCCTTGTGCCATCAAAAATTCTTTACCATACTAGTTTTCATGGCTGCACAGTATTTAATCTTATGAAAGTACTACAATTATTTATTCCCTTCTTATACATATGAGATATTTCTTTTACTACTGTTAATACCACAAAAAAAAATCCTCATAGGCCAGGTGCGGTGGCTCACGCCTGTAATCCTAGCTCTCTGGGAGGCTGAGGCGGGCGGATTGTTTGAGCTCAGGAGTTCAAAACCAGCCTGAGCAAGAGCGAGACCCCGTCTCTACTAAAAATAGAAAGAAATTAATCAGACAACTAAAAATATATAGAAAAAATTAGCCAGGCATGGTGGCGCATGCCTGTAGTCCCAGCTACTCGGGAGGCTGAGGCGGAAGGATTGCTTGAGCCCAGGAGTTTGAGGTTGCTGTGAGCCAGGCTGACGCCACGGCACTCACTCTAGCCCGGGCAACAAAAGCAAGACTCTGTCTCAAAAAAAAAAAAAAATCCTCATATAAGTCATTTGCCATATCCTCATTTTGTCAGACTAAATTCCCAGAAATAGAATTTGTTGGATCACATATTTAATGTGGCAAGACACTGTCAAAATGCCTTCTACTGTGGTTATGCTAATTTTCAAGTAGTTGAAAATTCATGAAGTTACTCCAACTTTCTGTACCTTGAACTTTGCTAGTATGATTTTTAAATTTTTGCCAATTTGATAGGCAAAAAAACAATCCAAAAACCCACTTGTGCTATTTGTCATTTGATCGCAGCAATGCTGAACGTTGGCTGTGGTGGTTCTGACCATTGACTTTTGAAAATTGATTGGTCAGAGCCTTTGTCCATTTTCCTTCTAGTGTATTGTTTTCTTATTGATTTATAAAATTTATACACTAAATGCTAATCATTTGTCACATATGTTTGCAATTTTCTCCCAGATTGTTTGCCTGTTTTTCTGTTTCTGTTTTAAGTTTCATTCCATCAAATCTATCTTTTTCTATCTATATTCAATAATATATTTTAAAGTCTTTCTCTATTTCAATATTATTTAACTACCACTTAAACTCTATCACATTGTTTAATTTTTATATTAAACTCCTTAATCTGTCTGATATTTTTGTTGGTTTATGGTATAAATGGTGGTATTTGGGGTAGGAGGAATCTAACTTAATTTTCTTTTCCAAATAGTTAACCACTGACTCACAGATGTATTTTAAAAAGTCTTTCTTCCCATGTTGATTTTAAATACCTCATTTATTATACACTAAAGATTCTAATTTAAACTAGAGTCTATTAACTATTTTTGTGTACATATCGATTGCTTCTATTTTTGCAGATCAATAACACATGCAGATATCTGGTGATACCAGTTCCACTCCTCTTTGTCAAGTGAATTACTTAGTCAATTATGAGAGAAGTTTCATTGGCTTTTTGGTTGCAATTTTATTAAACCTAGACACTAAGGATTGGAAATGGAATATTGTTTTTCATTATCTTTTCTAACTGGTTAATCCTAATTAAAAAAAGAAAATACTTGTATGGAAATCACTAGCTGACTATCTTGCTCTTTATTATTTTCCATTTTCCCAGTTGATTATTTTGTTTGTTGTATTAGATAATCATAGTACCATTTTTTTTTTATAACTTTGGTTTCTTATTGTATTGGCTACAATTTTTAGAACAAAAAATTATAGTGAAAATAGCAAAGATCCTTAACTTCTGATTTTGACAGGAATGCCTCCAGCATTCCATTAGAAGGGATGTTGACTATTAGTATTAGACTATTCTTTGTCTTACTGAGTTAGCATATTCTGAAAGTGGAATTTGACTTTTACCATTTTTTAGCACCTATAGAGACTATCTTTTTTTCTTTGCCCTTGTAATATGATTAATTACGTTAATATATTTCCTAATATTAAGCCTTCCTGGAAAGAATCCGATTTGGTCATGTATTTTTTTTTTTTTTT